CTCTCTCTCTCTCTCTCTCTCTCTCTCTCTCTCTATATATATATATATATATATATATATATAAGATGGCTAATTTTCATTAGACTTGAAGTACTTTAGGAATTTGATCTTCTGAAATAGTAGAGGAAAAGGCCATGTCTGACTTCTGCTGATAACTGTTAGTACTTCGTTTTCCTCTGATGTGAATTCCAAGAAATCTTCTCTTGTTTCTTAGCAACATAAACAACAGTGTTGTCATCCATTACTGAAGCAGTATACAAAACAATCATAGATCAAAAACAGATGTGAAGTTTAGCATATTAACAGCCACCAGAGGCAAAGAGAATACAAATCTGCTTGGAGTTATGTGAAAATTAATCTACATGTACCATATTGACTCACATTTGATGTGAAAGTTAACTTCAAGTTGATTTCTATCTCCTCATTTCAATATGCTTATAGGTTTATGTGTTTGTGGAGGCAACATGTGGATATTCAATAAAAGAAAAACCCACTAATTGTCATGAAGAAAATATCTCGATTTCTCAGCAATTCTTCCGAGTCTGAACAAGATGAGACATGTTCAGACATCATATAGAAATATGAAGAGAACTATTTTTTGCAGCACACACTGACACCTCATTTTTGTCATTAGTTTGTAAGGGTGTCCTTGTCATACCTCAGACTTTTCAGGTCTTGCAGCAAGCTTTTAGAATTGTACTTCTTGGTTGGAAAAGTAGAATGATGTTATGATATGGAAATTACGACCACAACTCTGAAGATATGGCTGTGATTTGACTGGCACAAAGCTCCATCCCTCTCCTCTGTGATAAGATATTATATTATGGTTGATTTTTGTGTTCCATTGGTCGTATGCCTCCAACTCTCTTGACATCAGCTCATGACTACAAAAATACATGGGTAGATGCAGTCAGTCAGAATGAGCTCTCCATACCACTTGTCAAAAGCAATATGATACTTGATGTGAGTGATTAATATACATCATGTGCTCCATGATCACATAACATATAGCTGCGATCGATGTCGATGAGTGATTAACATACATCAAGTGCTGCATGAATACAAAACAAATACAAGCAGTCAATCTCAATGAGTGCTCCTCCTCCACACCAATGTGATAATTGATGTGATCGGCAACCTTTGATGCCACCATTTTGAGTTATCATAATTGACCAAGTCCTGACAGCAGAAGAAAATGACACGAAGACGATGGAGAGAAAAAAAAGCTGGTTTTTGTGTCTTTGAGATCGATCTCAGAGCTCATAAAAAAATAATTGTGATCCTGCAATTCATACAGTGAATCTACTTTAGTTTGTCCAATGGGAAAGAGTAGAACTCGATCAGGTTTTGCACCAGTAATTTCTCTCTCCTACGACCTTTCCAAGCCACGTGGAGAGAAAATTTTGTGGAACACAAGAAAATAAATTTATAATATCACAAAAATCCTTTCGCGTGCTTATAATATATAATATTATTTATTGGATGATATTTCAAATGATCGATCTTTATAAATTTATTAGATATTTTAAGTATTAAATTTATCGGCTCGACCTTAAGTAAGTATATAATATTTGCTTATTATGAATGCATATACTTAAATATTATAAATTAGATCTTATAATTCTCTATTTAATTAATATCTCCATTGTAATATATTATTCTGCATAGACAAAATGGTTTATTTTAGTGCGAGGCTCGATGCTTCACATCACTAATTCCATGTGGTATCAGACGGCTGACATGCGCTGATCCCAAGTCAAAGATCGTGCTCGTCTGAACATGACTATTCCGCACAGTCGTCACGATATTTCTAACGTGCATACGTCAACCGATTTAACCGGCGACAGTGACGATTCCGAGCCTCTCTCACAACACTACAGCGGCTGCGTTGTCTTTGGTATGCATGCGCGGTTGGAACGAGTCATCGCGGAGAAACATACATAAGGAGGGCCAGCGTTCCAAGTTGATGACTTGACCCACAAGGCATGGAGAAGAAGGGAGAGCAGGAGGCAGTGGCAGTAGGGGAACAAAAAGAAGAGGATGTGGTGCTCCCCGGATTCCGGTTCCATCCCACCGACGAAGAGCTCGTCGGGTTTTACCTCCGACGCAAGGTGGAGAAGAAGCCGCTCAGCGTCGAAATCATTAAGGAGGTCGATATATACAAGTACGACCCATGGGATTTACCAAGTAAGTTGAGTTGCGTGATCTCTGTGTGTGTGTGTGTGTTCTTGAGTCTCTCACAGAGAGATCTTACTGGCGTTCTTCTTCTTTGATGGTGGAGTTGCAGAAGCCATCACCGCCGGAGAGAATGAGTGGTACTTCTTTTGCCTCCGGGGGAGGAAGTACAGGAACAGCATCAGGCCGAATAGGGTGACCGGGTCTGGTTTTTGGAAGGCGACCGGCATCGACAGGCCGATACACCCCGCAGCTGGCCACGCCGCCGCCTGCATCGGCCTTAAGAAGTCGCTGGTTTACTACCGAGGAAGCGCCGGAAAAGGAACCAAGACCGACTGGATGATGCATGAGTTCCGCCTTCCCGCCGGTGGTAGCGGCAAGATCACCACCACTCCTAGCATGCATGAAGCTGTGAGTTCTCTTCTTCCTGTAGCTTCAGCTGAACAGGCAACTCGGATGCTAGACCTGAATGCTTTGCTTTGCTTTGCTTTGCAGGAGATTTGGACCATCTGCAGAATCTTCAAGAGGAGTCCTATCTCTTACCGAAAGCAAACGAACAGTTGGAGAGAAGCATCAACGTCATCGTCAACCCGCAAGCAAATCGCAGCTGACTCCAGCTGCGTAACCAGCAGCTTCGAGTGCGACAACGGCAACGACTACCGGTGCTGCGCCTCCTCGGGCCACTCCAACGGCGAGCAGGGAGAGATGGAGCTGGCCACTCACTACTATCAGGAGAACAACCAGGTGTCCGGCGGCCAGTGGAACCCGATTCACCAACCTCCCTTGCTGTACACCAACGCGGGTCAAAGTCCAACCATGGACGAGTGCTTCAGATCGGATGGTGACTGGGACGAGCTCGGAAGGATTGTGGAGTTCATGAGAGATCAAACCCTCCTCCCCTATGACTGTGGATACACTTGAAGAAGAACACGGAAGACGAGTTTTAATTGCAGTAAGCTTGTCAGTGGTATGCATGCACTAGTACTGCTTAATGCTAATTAGCACTTCCTTCGACGTCTGTCGGGTGAGGTACAATTAAGAGGTCACCTGTTTGAAGTATGTTGTAAACGTCCAATACGCATTTATCTATCTAATACTTGAATGAAAGAGATAAATGAAGAGAAGTTACCGATTACTTGATCTTATGCTTACGGATTGAGAGTTGTTGGATATCGAATGGAATGGAATGAATGTGATATATTTATAACACACGCCGGAGCTAAACTCAATAGATTTTCTTAACTGTACGAAGAAATCTTTATTGAGAGAAATACTCTCTCATAACTTATATAAATAGGAGAGGATATGTCAATGCGATAATAGCTTCTTCAGTAATTCCTATCTTTTATAGGTTCCACAATGTTTACTTCTGATACTACCATATTTACATTTGATGATGTTTTATGTACCCCTCAACCTCATTTCTATTTCTCAATTTTGCAAACATAATAATACTTCAATTGAATTATTTCCTGATTCCTTTCTTGTTAAGGACTTGAGCATGGGGGCTCCTTGGTGAATGACCGTCGGCTCCACAAATAACCCGGCCCACTGTTCATTCTTTTGTTGTGGCTCCAGTTGATGTGTGACATCGTCGTCTTGGTCATCCCTCATCCCTTATTCAGCAGAAATTACTTTTCCGTTACTCTCTTCCTATTTTTAAATCATATAGTTCTATAACGCATTTTGATGCATGTCTTAGTAATAAAAGACATCGACAACCCTTTGGCTCATCTTCCATTTCCTCCTCTAAATCATTTGAAATTATTTATACCGATGTTTAAGGCCCTACTCCAATCTTGTCTTTTGATAAATTTAGATTTTATGTCATTTTTATATATCACTTCACTAAATACACATGGTTATATCCTCTTCACCATAAATCTGATGTTTCCACCATCTTTCCCACCTTTCGAAAGTTGGTTGAAAACCACTTTCAGTCTACAATCAAAATGGTTTACTCTGATGGTGGCGATGAATATCAAGCCCTGGCATCCTATCTCTCAGCTTGTGGTATCCAACACCTCAAGTCTCCCCCCGTATACTCCTCAACTAGTTGGCTCCGCCGAACGCAAACATCTACATATAGTAGAAACTGGGCTCACACTTATACATCAGGCTTCCATGCTTTCAAACTTTTGGATAGTAGCCTTTCAAACTATCGTCTACCTTATTAATAGAATGCATACGCCAGTCATACAATATCAGTCTCCCTTTGACACACTATTTTACAAACCCTCAAACCTTCATAAACTCATAGTATTCGATTGTGTATGTTATCCATGGTTACGTCCCTATGCCTCTCATAAGTTAACATCATGATATAATCCTTGCGTTTTTATAGGTTACTCTCTTTAACTTAATGTTTTCCGCTGCTATAATCTCTACACTCATAAAATCTTTATATCACGTCACGTTATTTTTGTTGAGTCTATCTTTCCTTTCCAAAACCATACCTATCCTACTACGTAGACCATTCCTTACTGGAATATACCTCCGATCCAACCCGACGAGCCTCCCATGACATCGTCCAGTTACTCCCCTCATGATCCACACTATATTACTCTTCCAGTTCAACAATTGCCCATTTCCTCCATTCCTACTCTACTCCTTTCTTCTCAACATGATGGGGTAATAAGTTTAGAAACATAATCATTATCTTTACCTCCTTCTCGGTCAAGTGACATTGACGTACCTCCATTTGACTCGGCCTGTGTCAATAACTCTCAACCGCTTATTCCAACAACATAACCTCACGATCCCGTAGTCTCTAATCATCCTATGACCACACGCTCTAAAAGTGATATTTTCAAATCACGTCAAGTCCTTAACCTACATGCTATCATGGATTCTTCATCCACTACCGTTGAACTCACCATCTTCACTCAAGCCCAAAAATCTCTACATTGGCATACCGCCATGTGTGATGATTATAATACCCTCCTCCATAACTCAACATGGGATCTATTACCCTCTCATCATACACAAAACATCATCAGGTGTAAGTGAGTTTTTCGAATTAAGCGGAACTCAGATGACTCTGTTACTCGATATAAGGCATGCCTCGTCGCCAAAGGGTTTCATCAAAGACCTAAAGTTGATTTCACTAAGACTTTTAGTCCCGTTGTTAAGCCCACTACAATCCGACTTATCCTAAGTTTGGCCACCAGTAAGAGTTAGCAATTACGATAGTTGGATGTTAATAATACCCTTTTACAAGGGACTTTAACTGAATATATTTTTATGCAACAACCTCCAAGAGCTTGGTACATAGAACTTGGCTCTTTTCTGACTTCAGTTGGCTTTTTCAACTCCAAATCAGATACCTTGTTATTTCTACAATAACATCATAATGACACAATATATATTCTGGTATATGTGGATGACATCATTGTCACAGGCAATAATCCCGTGGAAATCCAAGCGTTCATCAAATAGTTGGCAGATCGATTCTCGCTTAAAGATCTAGGACCCTTGAACTACTTTCTGGGCGTGGAAGCTACATTTACATCTTTCGATCTATTTCTCTCACAAAAAAAGTACATTCAAGATTTATTATAAAAAATAAACTTGCAGGACGCAAATGCGGTTATAACTCCTCTCTTTGCTAGTGGCTCTCTCAAATTATCTGATGGAAGTCTTGCTATTGAACCCACTCAATATCGATAAGTCGTTGGTTCCTTACAGTACTTAGCTCTCACTTGTCTAGACATCTCCTTTGCAGTTAACAAATTATCACAGTTTATACAGAGGCTGTCTACTATGCACTGGTCTATAGTCAAACGAATCCTGTGATATTTTAAGGGGATCCTCAATCATGGTCTCTTTTTTCGTAAACACTCTCCACTTCTTCTTCATGCCTTTGTCGATGTCGATTGGGCAGACAACTTTGATGATTGAATATCCACATCGGGGTATATTATATTTTTTAGCGCTAATCCAATCAGTTGGAGTTATAAGAAGTAAAAGGCAGTCTCACAATCTACAACTGAAGCTGAATACCGTGTCATCATCACTGCCACTACAGAACTCAATTTGGTCACAAATCTGCTCAAGGAACTCAACATCAATTTTACTTCTACAATATATTATGATAATGTCGGAGCTATTGCACTAATCCGATGTTCCACTCCCGTATGAAATATATTGCTATCGACTTCTACTTTGTGCGAGATCAAGTTGTTCGCCGTCAACTACGAGTTTCTCTTATACATACGGTTGATCAATTAGCTGACTCACTCACGAAACCTCTCGCTCGTAAACTTTTTATTTTACATCGATCCAAGATTGATATCCTTGATAGGAGCACCATCTTGCGGGAGCATAATAGCAGATAAGATTTCTCTAACTTTTATCAAATCTAACGCACCGACTCGATTCACGAGAGTAGGATTGAGCTAATTAGTTCACGTCTTTTATTATGCCGGCATGATGTGTGTAGTGGCGCATGCGATCATCATCTTCGTCGTTTCATCGATTTCCGATTGACCTAATTAGAGTAGGATTTCACGCTTCATCGGTTTCGGCTCCGGCTGATGTGATCATCTTCGTCGTTTCCCGAATCGTAAAGTGTGTAGCTCATGGGCAGGAAACTATACATTCTTTTGGGTAGGGTTTACGTTATGCACGACTATCTCGTGGCCACGATATATTGAGCTTGTGGGACCCACTGATCTTGCGAGTAGGCAGTGGGACGAAAACTTAAACCCTGTGCGAAGGGTTCCTTTATACACGTGAGCCGAAGGATGCCGGCCGTGTCTGCGTTGACGAGGAGGAAACAAAAAGAGGACTCTTTTTCGACTTCCGCGGTAACGTTGACCCCAAAACAAATTCCCCTTGCCCCGCTCTTCCACTTGCGACGCCAAACCAGAGGCGTCAGGCGGCCAGAGAGGCGCGACGAGGACCATGGCCGGCTCCTACGACCCCAGCGCCAGCTCCGGATCCGGCCTCTGGCGGCGGCAACCGAGCTCGTCGACGCCCCGCCCGCCACCCGCCGATCCGCTCCGCGCGGACATCGACCCCCCGCCGCGACCCCGCCCGGCGCTGCAGTCCCTCGCCTTCGGCCTCATCGTCCTCCTCGGCTGTCTGCAGTTCCTCCCCGCCACCCATTTCCGCGACCCCACCGACCCTCACCGCAACTGGATTCCTCTGGACCCCAATCGCTCGCAACCGATCGTGAGCTCCCCCACCCCTTTTTTTTTGCCCTTTCACTTCCCGTCTTGTCGATTTCTTATGGTAAATCCTTCACGATAGTGTTTTGAATGTTGGTTGGCATTGTGAAGGGAGTAGAATTCATGAAAATTACGATCTTTGAACTAAGATGAAGTCATTATTTTGGACAGTCTGCTAACTCGAGGACTCCTGAGAAAGAAGAACATAGTGCGGTCACCAAGCGAGAGGCAGATGTTGGAAAGTTACATATATTTTCTTGGATGGATTGCCTGGACCTTCGAGTCCTTGCTGTACTTGCAAACTCGACTCTTTCTAGCTCAAGGTTCTTCTTCCAGCTTTGGTTTTTTTTCTCCTCAATTTTCCATTTGATTTTTTGATAGCCACGCTTGATCCTAGTTGCGTTAGAGTTAATTATATTGACTAATTAATCAAGTTGATTGATCTAAACAATTATGTCTAATGTGATGCATATTCGGATAAAGCAGGATATCAGTTCTATAATCGTCATTGAGAAAATTCAGGAAATTTGTTTCTGGTGTATATTTTTGATCGAATAAGAAGCTCATTTGATACTGTGATTGCTCATATGATATTCCTTTGCTTTTTGTTTGGGCTCCTTGGATTGCTCATTCACATCTGTATGTATAGGTTCATAATCTTTGGCTAACTACGTAGAACTGATCGGCATTGCTTTCATCATCTTCATGATATTTCAATTTCACTTTGCAAAACCTTCTGAAAATATATCTTTTATTCACTGGTTTTGTTCCAGACATCCAGAGAATATCTTTTTCCATTTCTTTGTATCCGAAACCGAGGATGAGAAGCTATCATATTATAAGCTGAAAGTTTTCTTGCCTCGTTCCAACCTCGAAATCATTGGGTAAGTGTCAAATATTCAACAGCATAATTTTGCAAATGTCTTGATATGTTGCTCATGCTTAATTTTGTGTAGGCTAAAGGAAGTAAAGGAGAAACTAATATCTCCTACATCAGAGGGGGAATTCATCGAGTCTGTACTTCATGAAATTGTACCTTTTGCCATCCCAAGTATCAATTCCCGGATGAACAAGTTTCTATATGTTTCACCAAATACCATTGTAAAGGTACCTCTTTCATGGCTTATCTTCTGATTTTTATGAGAAGTGTCATAGATTTCTTAGTCACAAATAAGGGTGAAAGTTGGTCAACTAAAATTCATATAGTTCCATAAATATATGTCCGTAACATATTAGTGTTTGTATTCAACTATTGCCATCTGAGCACCATCAGATACAAATAAAGATATGGGCAAATATCTATCCATATCTGAATGTCTGAATATTTCAGAAGTGTTAATACAATGAAAGATGTAATTTGATTAATCTTTTTGCTTATGGTAACTTTTATTTTGTTTCTGGTTCTCCCTTTTTGTTCTATGTTTGCTTTGAAGTTCTCTTATTGAATTTAATAATTCGACAGTAACATACTCAGTTCATGTAATATACACATCAGTGTATATGCCTTTAATCTGATTCAGATTTGGATCTATAATATATCTAAATTTGTATCCATTTCATCTTGACAGTACTGTTTCAAAATTTGTCATCCATTTAATATCCATATCAGTGTTCGTTTATGGTCATCAAAAGAGGATTTAAATGTAGTTTTCCCATTAACTGGTCCATATCTGCTCCATTGTTGCTCCTAGTCACAGGCCATCCAGGATGTGGCTCAATGGTTGGTTACATTCTTCAACTAAAACAAGATTTTAGGTGTGAACCTCTTAGGATTTGATTTGGACAAATTTTATGCTCCCTAAAGAACACTGTAGGCATCAACATTGTCCATCTCCTGCCAAAAAGAAAAAAGGATTTCTTGTTAAGGACCTAAATAGGGACATCATAGAGAACAGAGGAGAAAGAAGGGAACAAAAAAAGACAATCACCCAACAATGCACAAAATTTATGTGGTTCAACCAATAAACCTATGCCTATGTAAGATGGATAATACTGAGACAACCACTCTCATCCAGATATAAGATGGATAATACTGATAGTTACTCTGGTCGTAAGGGATTATACATATGGCTCTATGCTAGTTGGCTCAATAATTTGTTTCCTCCAATACCTTCGAGGAGCTTAGCCAACTGAGAGGCATATCTTCAGTCTTTTGGGCTGAGGAAGCACACTATGCGTCAACCTGATATTTGATGATCTCTTCTGTTCTGATCAATCACATATCAGTATATATAGCCACAAAACTGCACCATGTTAAATTTGGTGCCAAGCGCTGTTTGCGTGTAATTCTGATTTCCCTTATATTTATCATATCCACTTAGTATAAGGGCCAAAACATGTTATTACTCCCACTTCACCAATTGTTCACGTAAATATTTGATGTCTTATCACATTGAAATTCTGTAATTTGTTAGTAATCCATATGTTATTAATTGGAAAGAACAATTACATTTATGTCAAGTTGTGGCTTTAATTCTTTGAGGAACATATAGGAAGTTCATTGTCTGTGCCTTTGTGACTGATGTTCTGGATGTGATTTTCCAGATTTCTGTTAATGTTCCATGGTCACTGACTCATGATTGATGGGGCAGAAAATCATGCAGTTCTTACTTAGCAGGTTATATAACATTTTCCTCTGTGGGTTTGTCACTTTACATATGACCATTTATCAAACTGATACAAGTCACAGTTTGGGATCTGTGTTGACAAAGTAGAAGGCAGAAGAAAAATGAAGGGGCAAGTAAATGGAAAGGGAGCTTCTCAACTGCTGATGGCGATTGGAGTCTGTTGTAGTAGTGGAACTGTTTTGATACTTCAGAACACAGACAAATTTTTTAGAACAGTTGACTTAGAATTATTTTATGCAATCTCTTATAGTCCCACGAAAATTTCTCATAAATGTTGGTAAAACTACCAAGACATCAAACATAGCTTTACCACAAAACCTTATCCAGCTCATGAGATTTTGGCTATAAGACATAGGATATGGTCCATGGTGATGTTTGATTGCCTTGTGAACAGCTTTAATGAACATTTGATCTCCGACCTGTATTTTACACTATAGGGCCAACTAAGGCTTTATTCAGGAAATGATCCATTTACTCTAAATGAATTCCACAAAGTGTAACTTACCTCCAATTCATCGAGGTAATCATTATTATGGAGTTCATACTAAATTGCATAAACATGAGATCGGATGCAAAAGGTAGTACCTGTGTTTTCTCACATAATGTTTTAGAATCAGAAGATTTCATAGGATATTGCAGTTGGTACAGAGTCTACAGACAGAAAACATTTTTGTATATATACTATTAAGTAATATACTATTTTGTGTCGATAAAATTGGAGTATCAGAATGACATTGGACTGTTTTCTTTTTTTATTTTTTTCTCTCTAAGCAATTGCTGCCCTTTTTTTCTACAGGGAAATGTTGAGGAGCTCTTTGATGTTGACTTGGGGTCTTATGCTATTGCAGCTGCTGAAGACTGCAACAGAAGATTGGGAGACTATGTAAATTTTGAAGTTTTAAATGCAATCCAAAGAACAGAAGCAAAGACTTGGGTGTCTGATAAACCTTATGACAAAGATGCTTGCTTACCTGACTTCAATGTGCTTTTATTTGATGCGAGAAAGCTCGATAATAATCTAGTAGATGTCATTGCATGGTGGAACAAAATTCTGAATCTTGGAACACAAAGGTTTCCCATTTCTTCCTATACTTTCTGCGTACCTGCATGAAACATTATTACAAATATTTCTGCATGATTTCCTTCACTTAGCTGTGGTACCTTTTTCACTCAACTGCATGGCTATCTTTGCAGGCCAAATCAGGTTAATCCAGCGATTGCATTGGCCTTCTACGGAAGGTATCTCAAACTTCCTGCCTTCTGGAAGCACCATCGATCAACACCTCTTGTCAGAGAGAATGAAACCAACGTTCTTCCTTTTGATGGTCCAAAGAGGGTCTGCTCCAATGACAAGGATCAGCAGCAAAATTTCGATCATGGCAGTCTTTGGAAGACATATCTTACTCCAAAATTTGATGCCGTCTTGAGCCATACGAACTAAAGCTTTGTCCAACCGGAAATCAATATCCGACAAGTATTTCTAGGTATGTCTATTTTTCATGCCATAAAAGATTGATGGCATGTACGCAAAGAACAAAGGAAACACACGTGGTCCGACTATTTTCTATGAGATGTAACTTACTATACTGGCCATTGACAAGGAACTTTCAAATCATTTAACAAACACTACAAAATTCTGAGAAGTTATGATGACAATGTTTACACAAAAAAAAGCTTGCAGTGTTCCTGTCAAAATTTTCACTCATATTTTTCATGGTGTTTGAGAAGAGATACAAATGATTGATAGTTATGCACCAATTCTCCACAAGTTGAGCTTGGTTGATATTGTGTGGCCAGCTAACAACATTGGAACTTGATTGATAGCTACTCAATAATAGTGTTTTGAGTAAGCTTTGCTCTGGCAGAGGATTTTAATTTTTCCCGACATTTGTGAGGTATTAACTGTATCTTCCTCCACATTTCATGCATATATAATTTGCACAGAAGACTTTCTTTGTTTTTTTGTTCATTTGGCTCTACCATTTGAGTGGCAAACAGAGGTTGTGATTGAACTCCCTACCCAACTTTCTTTCTTGTCACTGACCTGTGAAGATGGCCCCATGTTGATAAGGATCTCATGATCTCAGTCGGGCCTCTCATGCCAACTAAGACCATATTGCCTTGATGCGTGATTGATTTCCAACCAATCAAGCTACTTTTGTAAAGGAGATTCTCCAAAATCGAAATAGCTCAGGTGGAATCAAAGGAAGACTGATATGTTGAGATGGAGTAGCAGGATAAGGCACAATGACGCTTGATAGATAGAGATCACCAACATACGGGTCATCAGTGATTATAAAGAACTGAGGAAGAGAGTAAACAGTTGGGGATGAGAAGGCAGGATGTGGATTGACTGATCTGCATGAGACTACCATTGAAGAATCAGAAGACAAGAGAAGATGAAGACGATAAGACGGATGTGTGTGGAAGTGTTGGTTGATAGGCTTTGGGTGGAGCCAAAGAAATCCCACATGGCTTGATTGGTTCATTTTGTTGCATATGAATTGCAGACAACAAAGTCGAGGATCAAAACATCGAACTGAACTGTATCTCTTTGCTACCAATCTCTTTCTATCTCTCTCTCTGAAGATTGAAGATATTTGTTATGCATGTGAGTGCAAGAGCTTTTCTTTTTCGCGAGGACGACTGGAGGCTTGTGAGCTTTCGTAGCACAAGCAGAGGAGGGTTTGCGCCCACAATTTGTTTGCAGAGAGGTACCAATCTGCGAGCTCGGGACCCCAAGAAAGAAGGTGAGAGACGACAAAGCGACATGGAGGAAGGTAGGTCCAACAGCGTTACCATCTCTTCACCATGTGCACGTTGACTGTGTAAACCATGGGCCACATCTTGTCTTCACATACCAACACCATCTCATCCCTCTCCCTCTCCCTCACCCACCTTTGCTCTCTTGTCTTCTTCTACAAGGTTATGTTTAAGGCAAGGAAGGATTCCAACATGGGAGCTAAAGGTAACTTGAGGTTGGAATCTGCGGAAGGATGAAAGAGGCAGGGAGACAGCACGGCACAGCTTCGCCCTGCGCGGCGTGCAAGCTCTTGAGGCGGCGCTGCGCATGGGATTGCGTCTTTGCCCCGCACTTCCCGGCCGACGAGCCGCAGAAGTTCGCCAATGTGCACAGGGTGTTCGGAGCTAGCAATGTCAGCAAGCTCTTGCAGGTCCCCTTCTCTCTGTCTCTCTCACGCACACCACCCCTAAATTCCAGCGAGTCTGTGCTTCGGAACTCACCATGTGGAGCTTCTTGTCGTGCGAGCACAGGAGATTGCAGTGCAGCACCGAGGAGATGCCGTGAGCAGCCTGGTGTACGAGGCCAACGCCCGGGTTCGAGATCCAGTATACGGGTGCGTGGGCGTCATCTCCTCCCTCCATTGCCAAGTCCAGGCTCTCGAGGCGCAACTCGCCATGGCTCGAGCCCAGATGGTCCGCTTGCGCATGCTCGCCCACCTCGATCTCGGCCGGAGCCCCACGGGCACAGGGAGCACCACCACAGGCTCCTCATCCATGTGCCCCTCGCCCATCTATACCCCCGGACATGGTGATGCAGGACAAACACCGATGCTTTCCTTCTCATACGAAAGGTAGCAGAGCAAGAGATGGAGAAGCGATGCTTAAAGGCGGACACGGCTTTCGGTGGGCGTAGTAGTAGACGGCGACTGAGATAATTCGACCGTTGGAGCGTGTGCCGTGTCGTGCGCTATTTCGTGTAGCCCGAGACCAGATTTCCCCCAATTCGACCGTTGCAATCAGTTCAAATAGTACCGTTATAAGTCGAACTCGATCCCTTCTTCTTTTACCACTTCACTTTCCCCTTTGGAGGCCGAAGAAGGAGGAGATGATGACCAGCGGCGGAAGCAGCAGCGGCCCATCGGCGGACCCTTGCCACAAGCCTCGCCACCCGCTCCACCAGATCGCCGAGAGCGCCACGCACAAGCTCCTGCTCAAGCAGTGGATGAAGGAGGAGGAGATCGTCGCCCGGCGCGTCGCCCTCCGTGAGTCCCGCGTCGACGCCGTACGCCGCCAGATCGCCGCCCTGTACTGCCTGTTCTTCGTCCTCCACTCCCTCGTCCTCCTCCTCCTGTACCACGCGTCCGCCTCCGCGCGGCCCCCCTCCGCCGCTTGCCGCCGCTCCTGGATCCCCTGCCTCTGCTCCCTCGTCTGCTCCTTGGCCATCGTGTGGGCCGTCCGGTACAAGGCCGACACGGAGAGCGTGCTGGAGCGGCTGCTGGAGCGGGAGAGGGAGGACGGGCTGCTGCTGGCCAAGTGCGTGGAGGAGCTGAAGCGGAAGGGCGCGGAGTTCGACCTGCTCAAGGAGGTGGACGCGCTGCGGCGGGCCAAGAGCCTGCGCGTCGAGGCCAAGGGCGGCGCCGCCAAGGTGCGCAAGTGGTCGGCCAGGGATCTCGCCACCACGGTGCTCCTCGCGCTGTCCTGCGGCGCCTTGGGCCTCACGAGGTTCGTGCTCTGTGATCAAGAACCTCGATCATGATGGAATCAGGGCTTCTGTTCTTGATAGGAGAATTATTTTGGTTGATGCAGCAGAATGATGCTTGTTCTGCTGTTCTCGTTCTCGTTCTTGTTTTGTGCCCAATAAGATTGTTGTGCAAATATTAAGTCTTTGAAAAGAAGACCTTTTTATTCTTCCTCTCCAAACATCTTCAAGAACAGTTTTGTCTTTTGTTAAATGCAACTTGATGATGGTTTTGGCCACAAGAACAGTGGTGCAGCACTCCATGGATGACATGTGAGGACCTGCACCAAGAACAGTGCTCTAATTGGAATCAGCACTCCCAAAGATGTACACTTCATGGTTGTCATGTGAGAGGACCTGCAACCAACAACGGTGTTCTAATGGGAACAGTAACCCCAAGGGATAAGTCTGTGGATGCACTGTGATGGCCACCGTCACCAAACACTATATGCAGCACTAAGTGTGAATCACCTTAGCTAATGGAACAATTCTGGAACCAAACGCCAAAGGGAACACTTCCTACCATGGAGGAATCGACTCTGGTCATCAGCGTTTCTTCATCGTCCAGAAGTCAGCACACTATCAGTTCTGCATTTTAAGTACAAGTGTGAGGTGTTAATGTTGCTCTGTGATAGTATATTGTTCTACAATAATATCAAGAACAATAATAATAACAAATAATAATGCTTGAACTATTTGGGATCGACTAATAGATCTTTGTACAATGTAAAATCCTTAATTGAATTATGGTATGATTTTACGTGTGTAAGTTCTAGGGCATTTTAGATGCAAAATATGAAAACTTGAAAACTAATGTTACTTTTAGATGCATGCAAAATTGTTACATTTCCTTCAACTTCATTAAAAAATATGTAAACAAGAGAAATAATGTAAAACATTACAAGCTTACTTGCATCATACAGTGAAGATTTGCAGTGTATATCGTCACAAATGTTTTATCCTTCTGCATCATTGAACATGGTCATTAAAGAACAATAACATGCAACAACATGTTTGCACAGTTTTGCAATAATATAAAAATAATTGTGCATACCTCCCTTTCAAATCCATAATGGGAAGCAACCATTCTTGCATCTTCCGAACTAGATTCAATGGACATATGTCACAGATGGGGATGTTAAGTTCATTCTCTCTACTATCACACCTAGTGAGAACTAAGAAAGATATCTAGCTGATGTCTCCCACTCCCATTCAGAAAAACACATATACAAAAAGGAAGAAAAAGAAAAGTAAGATCCTTCAGACTTTAGAGATCAAATTCAGATGATATTTTCATATTCATCCATGACAAGGTGAAGTCTGTGAGAACTTGAATGCACCAACTAGGAGAAATGGAAAAAATAAACAAGGACTACATTTAAACTAAGATGAGGTGACAGATCATGAAAAAAATTCCTGAAGTTTTATTTTAAATTATGAAGATACGATGTAGTGCAACATTATGAACCTACCTTCATAAAATTCAAATTATGAAGATTCAAACTCATATTATAGAAACAATTTAATTTAATTATATGTTAATCTGATTTTTCTAGTATTGCAAAATCGCCCACCATTAGAAAATAAGTTCACAGGAACCTTTGACAACAACATCCATTTCTAGCATCAACATGATGGTTACATTGAAACTTATTGTAGGACAAATTTTTACCTACAACTGTTTTTAAGCTCTACAAAGAGAGTTTCTCATAACAATCGCTTAGGGGACATTGTCCAACATGGATTTGCCGAGTTTGGCAGGAGGTTAACTGATTTTTAGAAACAAGTAAGACTAAAATTAAATCTAATATCTCACTGCCTCAAAAATAAAAAATCGATGTTTCTCAGAAATAACAGCACTGCTTATATCCCAAATCACTTTATGAGTCCCAAAAGGAAAGCGATAGGGAGCAAGCTACAATGTGATCAGGAGCGCGGATCAATTTTAACAATAGATTAGAAAAGTTTCATTAACCGGCCAGAGGTAGAATGGTTTTATTGTCAGGAGCTGCAGTTTGAATCATTTTAGAATATAGATGTCATGGAGTAGTTAAAATTGATGATCAAATTCAATACCTTCTTTGCCATCACATAGAAGCTTAGATTAAGACTGAAAAATTTTAGTCCAAAAAATCCATTACCATCTAAATCTTTGGTGTACCTTATCAGAAGATGAGAGAGAAGTGCCTGCAGAAGGGTGAGCGTGGGGTGAAAGGTAATAGCAAATTTCATTAGAAATAAAACAATTCAACTTTTAACCAACGAAATAAAGATTAGCAAATAATAATAATAACAATAATAATAAACAGATGGCACTATATAGCAGTGCTGTTAATGCCTGCTAATAAACCAGAGCAGCGAAGCAAATAATTCGTTTCCTTTTTCCTTACGGTAAAAATCAAGAAATTTTTAGAAAGAAAAGTGTGATTTAAAGTTGACATATCAATGAATAAAATATTAGGACTTACGGCTTTGTCGTCATCGTTGTAGTATACCAATAAACAGAATGTAACCATTTGGGAAGGTGGTGGAAGCTCTCTGAATGATCTTTCGCGTCTTCTGATGTCATAACTGAAACAACATTTTGTTAGCAAACAGATAGAATTGAACATAAAATGGATCCCCCAAAGTAAACCCACACACCACAAGAAAGACAGAAAAGAATGCAAATTATTAAAGACAATTTTGGTGATCAGATAACTTCTTTTCCATACCAAAATCCTGAAAAAATCCTTTCTTTTTCTTTCAAGAAACACATCACCGAGCTAGAGCCCTTTTCTTGGAAATCGGATTGTAGATATCTTCGAGAAAAGAATGCAAATTAGAAAAGCCGATCTTGGTGATCAGATATCTTTTCCCGTGCTTGAGTCCTGGTTGAGTTCTTCGTTATTCACAAACACCATATCGAGGAGCCATTTCCTTGGAAGTCGGAACTCGAGAAAGAACAGAGAGGGCTTATGGAAGCAATCAGCTTTCGATGTAACACCACTTCAAGAAACACATCACCGAGCTTGAGCCCTTTTCTTGGAAATCGGATCTTAGATATCTTCGAGAAAAGAATGCAAATTGGAAAAGCCAATCTTGGTGATCAGATGTCTCTTCCCGTACTTGAGTCCTGATCGAGTTCTTTGTTATTCACAAGCACCATATCGAGGAGCCATTTCCTTGGACGTCGGAACTCGAGAAAGAACAGGCAGGGCTTATGGAAGCAATCAGCTTTCGATGTAAGACCAATCTTGGAGTGCACGTAACCACGAAGGCAAGAAAATATAAGCAACATAGTGAAAGCCTCAAGAACGAAAACTCAGAAAGCCAATCTTCACGACAAGTTGGGGATCCTGATCAAGCAACGTATCATGGAGCCATTTTCATGGAAATCGGGAACTCAGAGAACGAACAGCGAGGGCATCCGGAAGCAAACAGATTTCGATGTGAAACCAATCTCGGATGCACATGTCACGAGGACTGCAAATCATAAGCAAAACAGTGGAGACCTTAAAACAACCCCGTCATCAACCAAGAAGGTAAACTCGGAATGCCAATCTTGACGAGCACATTACCGGATTCTTGAAACGGAAGCAACCAGCTTTCGATGTTCCCAAGAAATGAAATGAAAGGAGCGATTAAGAGAGAGAAGATGAAGAAGGGAAACAGAGAGCACGAGGAGAGTCCTTGGTAAGCGCTGATGATTCGGCGGAGGGATGCGATCTCGAGGGCTTCTTCGAGGTTTCTGTAGCGCCAATCCCCCGTCGCTACGCCTTCTTCTTCTTCTTCTTCTTGTCTGCGATACATTCCTCCGCCGCCCGTTGATTCGACTCTTAGGAATAAAATTGCCAGGCGAGGGCAGATTAGGGAACATAACATAACCTTGTGCAGGGACTTTAACGGGTCGGATCCACCTAGGCTCCGGATATCATAAGCTTGCGGGTCCAAAACGCCGGTATATAACAAATTGGGTAGGATTCGGATCGAGACAGATGAGCATTAATGGAATGGATCCCTCCATCGCCACCGCTTACCACATTAATGGAATGGATCCTTCCAAAACAGGCGGCCATCGCCTGCAGCCGGACCCACGGCCTCCGCATCAGGGTCCGGAGCGGCGGCCACGACTACGAGGACATGTCCTATGTCTCCGCCGGCGACGATCCCTTCGTCGTCGTCGATATCTCCAGCCTCCGGTCGGTCTCCGTCGACGCAGCCGATGGTACGGCCTGGGTGGTGACCGGTGCAACCGTCGGCGAGTTCTACTACAACGTCGCTGCCGGGGTTCCCCGCCGGCATCTGCACCACTGTCGGCGTCGGGGTGCAGTGTAGCGGGGGAGGGATCGGGATGATGATGAGGAAGCACGGGACGGCCGCCGACAACATCGTCGACGCTCTAATGCTGGACGCCAGAGGCGAGATCTTGCACAGGGAGTCCATGGACCGGGATCTCTTCTGGGCCATAAGAGGAGGCGGCGCGGCAAGCTTCGGCGTCGTCCTCTCCTACAAGATCAGATTAGTCCACGTGCCTCCCAAAGTCACCGTCTTCAGCATCACCAGAACCCTTAAACAGGGCGCAACGAAGCTGGTGGAGAGGTGGCAGCACGTCGCACCCAAGCTTGTCGACGACCTCACCGTCAGGGCCATCGTTCTGGCCGTCGACGACGACGAGGCGCAGGGAAACGGACAATCCAAGTCATATGCCAAGGCATGTTCCTCGGGCGGCGGCGCGCTCTTCTCTCAGTGATGAAGAAGAGCTTCTCTGAGCTGGGCTTGGAGGCGACGGACTGCAGCGAGGTGAGCTGGCTGGAGTCTACACTCCACTTCGCAGACTACAGCAGCATTAACTCGACCATATTGTTAGATAGGAGGCCGCAGCACAATAGCTCCTTCAAGGCCAAGTCAGAGAAGGGGTGGAAGGGGATATGGAAGCTGATGACGGAGGCCATGGTGATGATAATGGAGCCATGGGGAGGGAGGATGGGTGAAATAGCTGGGACTACCATTGTCTTCCATCACAGGAAGGGGAACCTGTACAACATCCAATACCTTGATGAGGTAGTTTGAGACGGAAGAGGCAGTGACTGAGAGGCATTTGGGGTGGATGAGGAAGCTGTACGAGTACACGTCTTCTCAGGTGTCGAAGAGTCCAAGGGCTGCTTACCTCGACCACAGGGACGTTGACTTGGGAAGGACGAGTTACAGGCAAGCTGGTGCTTGGGGAAGCAACTACTTCTTGGTTAACTAGAAGAAGCTTGCACAAGTGAAGGCCAAGGTTGATCCAGAGAACCACTTGTGGAATGAACAAAGTATTCTGCCATTTTCTATGTAGAATCCTTCTCTCAAAAAGACGAAGTCCTTATGGAATGAACAAAGTATCATCCCCTACTTTTCCAAGGTTTTGTTTTTTTTATGGTTCATAGGAAGGAGGAGGAGCAGGAGGAGGAGGAGGAGGAGGAGGAGGAATAATTATTTATATTTTATTTGTGTTTTGAATAAATCAATAATGTTTTGAGAGACCATAAATTTGCATTCTTTATTTTTAACCAAATTTCAAGATATAGTTTCAAGATAGAATAATAATTATGTATCATTTGGTTTGTTACTCTACATATAGATGTCACGGACAAAGGCCACATGAAGGGATCACAATTCGAGTTCATCTCATAAGGGTCAGAATGTAATAGAGATGTCACCAGGAGGTGACATGGTGCAACGGATCGTGGTGGAACAGTTCATGACAATGCGATACACACGACATTGTCCCGTGATGGACTATATCATACGGAGGTATGATCGGGAGCTACTGGAAGCTCCACTTCGGTGAACAACACGACGACAAGAAGGGCTATGGATTTAAGGAGTAAAGGTCATGGTACCATAGAGGCCGATCTTCCGTGTGTGCATCAAATTTTGCATCGGATGAAAACTTTAATTATCAGCATATGGGGGGTTGTGTACCACCGAGGAAAAAGTTCGAATGCAAATACCAGTGAGTCCCATGGGAGGGACTTGATTATGTAGAGGGATGATCGAAGCAACTAGAGAGTTGGACTGCTTTAGAGCCTATATTCGCTTAAGGGAGCCCGGTAAGTCAAAGGACAAGGTCGAGTAAGCGAATGTTACTACCAAGGAAGCTAAGGAGAACAGAATCGGTGCAAACCCTACAACGTGATGGTAGAGGCCATGCATGGGAGTTGCAGTTTATCTTTCCATCGACCAAAGGGAGCTGTTTGGAGAACACAGATGTGCTGAAGCAAGGGGTCGAAAAAGGCGAGGAAGTGACGACGAGTCTAGAGGGACTTAGCTACCTAAAATCAAGCATCAGTTAGAATGAAGGTGGACTCGGAGGAGTGCCACGGAGACATATCTACTGATCGTGAAGAAAATAAATGCAGATGCGATGCGACGGATAGTAGGGCCATGGGCATGGCAGCGCCATGGTACCGTAGAGGCGGGACTTCCATGAAAGGCATTGATCCCTTGCTCTCATGGAGGCAGAGTGCTTGGTCGTGAAAGGGGTCGAGGAGGTGAGACGTGCAGAGGCAAACTCCAAGTACCGAGACAAGGCTGAAGGGTAGAGGCCAAGGAACTTCGTAAGACTGGTGTCAACGAGCATCTCATCAAGATAGCCAAAAGTGAAGGACTTCTGGTCATGCAAGAGTGCACGACCAAGGAACGAAGCAGGCAGTACACGGTGCTATACCTTTGCTACTCAACGGAGTAGGCGACCGGGTTGATGGAGAAGATGATACAATCCCATATGCGACCAAAACTATTAGAGACTTACTCCAAGTTGGGGTGAAAACTTCCTGCATTCTAGAAGTTCAATGACATTGAGAATGTGAACCACAGTAGCTAACTCAATGCAAGGAGTGCAAACACTTCGAGTGCTTCAGAAGTGTGAGCAAAGAGTAGACGAAGGCCAGTAACCAGCTCGATGCATGGAGTACAACCCTTTAGGAGGCAGGCGAAGTCAAGTAACCATTGTCTTCTCAACTCTTAAGAGAATGGGCGAAACCGAGTACCTCAATTCTCTTATCTATCCAGCAAAGGAGCTCTGCAGTTTGTGGAGGAATGACCCAAAACTTCAGAAGTTTGCGAGGCGATGCTCGTTAAAGCTCCAATAAGCATCCACCAAGTTCAAGCAGCATGAGGCATTTGAGAGACTAACGCATAGTAAGGATGGTTTTTTTCCTTCATCTGGAGGATCCGCAGGAACCAACAGGGATCAACACAACTCAGCCAACCCCACACTAGAGTTAGAGTCATTGGCGAGTTAAAGTAGCATGGCGGATCAAAAGTTTGACTACTCAAAAACAATAGCGGAGAGTAGTTGAGAGTCAAGAGGCGCATTGCAGTTGGAGCAGAAGATTGAAAACTCAACAAAGGCGAGGAGTTGTAGTGTCGGCAAAGGTTTCGACGAGGACGTCGAAGGAATAAGTGGGGGAGAATGTCACGGACAAAGTTCTAAATATGATGTTTGATGTAATACTTATGTATGTCCATGTCTTTCTGTTTGTTCATGTTTTGCACAGTATGTAGAGGAACGGTCGAAGGCTTAACAGCCCCATTTTAGTTGGGTTTGGTGGCCTTCTTAAGCTTGTAAATAAATGTTGTGTCATGTGAACACTTTGCTACTCAATGGAGTAGGCGACCGGGTTGATGGAGAAGATGATACAATCCCATATGCGACCAAAACTATTAGAGACTTACTCCAAGTTGGGGTGAAAACTTCCTGCATTCTAGAAGTTCAATGACATTGAGAATGTGAACCACAATAGCTAACTCAATGCAAGGAGTGCAAACACTTCGAGTGCTTCAGAAGTGTGAGCAAAGAGTAGGCGAAGGCCAGTAACCAACTCGATGCATGGAGTACAACCCTTTAGGAGGCAGGCGAAGTCAAGTAACCATTGTCTTCTCAACTCTTAAGAGAATGGGCGAAACCGAGTACCTCAATTCTCTTATCTATCCAGCAAAGGAGCTCTGCATAGGTTCAAAGGCCCTTCGAAGATATTAGAAGACAATAGTTGTCAAATCCTCACCAATGGTGATCAGTGCTATTGAGAGTAGATTATTCGCTTCATTTCCCAACAAAATGTCAATCGAAAGCGGAAGTGATGCGAATCTACTTGGAAGTGACAACTAAGTGAAAGAAGAGTAAATGAGCAAATTTTGTGGAGAAATGACCCAAAACTTCAGAAGTTTGCGAGGCGATGCTCGTTAAAGCTCCAATAAGCATCCACCAAGTTCAAGCAGCATGAGGCATTTGAGAGACTGACGCATAGTAAGGATGGTTTTTTTCCTTCATCTGGAGGATCCGCAGGAACCAACAGGGATCAACACAACTCAGCCAACCCCACACTAGAGTTAGAGTCATTGGCGAGTTAAAGTAGCATGGCGGATCAAAAGTTTGACTACTCAAAAACAATAGCGGAGAGTAGTTGGGAGTCAAGAGGCGCATTGCAGTTGGAGCAGAAGATTGAAAACTCAACAAAGGCGAGAAATTGTAGTGTCGGCAAAGGTTTCGACGAGGACGTCGAAGGAATAAGTGGGGGAGAATGTCACGGACAAAGTTCTAAATATGATGTTTGATGTAATACTTATGTATGTCCATGTCTTTCTGTTTGTTCATGTTTTGCATAGTATGTAGAGGAACGGTCGAAGGCTTAACAGCCCCATTTTAGTTGGGTTTGGTGGCCTTCTTAAGCTTGTAAATAAATGTTGTGTCATGTGAACACTTGTGAGAGATATTCGATCTAAGTGGACCATTTTGACCTTTTGTTGTGCAATCGTTCAAAGCTTGTAAAGTCTGTTTGTAATTTGCATTGTCTATGAAGTAGTTTCTGAGATGTTTGCTTGTGGATCTCGATTGAGACACTTTCTCTAACCCGTTTTCTCTTTTGTAGATCCTAAGGGACCATGGAAGGTTTCGGTGAGGTTGACCTTTACGGACGAACACGCAAAGATATCGTATGACTTAGGCAAAACCAACTAAGTCCATAACACAAAAGAGAGAAAACTTCACAACAAACTTCCACTAATGATGAACTTTATATCACATTAATCTACACACAGGAGAAAACCTTCGTATCATACACACAATCTGAAATACAGTGATCCAACCACAAATTATTAATCTTCATCATGCCAAGACATGACCATAAATATGTTGCTTCTTGCACAATCTGAAAAGTTACACAAAAGAAATTGATTGTTCTTTTACATTCATTAAAACCTACATTTCAGACATTGCACAGCTAAAAAAAAACCCATCTGTTTCAGTGGTTAAATTACATTACAATGAGCAACCCTCATGTCAGCTTTAAATCCATTGTTACAAAAATTAAGGAATTTGAGGTTACCGTCATGAAATTGGAACCACAACTTTACAGGTAATTAAGCCGATGCCTCATGCAACCCCTTTTTTATGTACACGATAATGGAAGAGATAGTAATGCAACCACAAAATAGCAAACTTCTTAGTTGTTTGGTTATTAACCAGCAACCCCTCGGAGCGATTGGCCCTATCTATATCGAGATTGGGATTGATCCAGAGAAGAACTGCTGGAGTGGGAGGATGACTCTATGCCCTCGGGCACCTCCATCTGCGTGGGCAATAGCTTGAGAAAACTTCCTTGGACAGGCTGATTTGGAGTAGCAGCCATATCCATGTCTGAAACCACATGCATAAAGCAATTTTTCTCATATAACCAATCCAACTAGTCAATCAGAGAAAACTAAGAAGCATCATATTACCAAACAATGACTTGATTGTTGGCCTCTTTGGCTTATTACTCTTTTTCCTTAGCTCGGCTGTACAAACATGACAAGCATGAAAAATATCAGAGACAAGACAAAAATAAAGTAATTCTAGAAAATCAGAGAAACTGAAAGGGAGAACCACCGATCCCAAGGACTTCATGGTCATTTACAATTTCAAAATTTTTGTATGTATAACCCACAAAGTTGACATCCTTGGATGGAAGCATCTGTAAGAGCAGATGGAAAAAACACATCAGTTAAGCTGACTAGAAAACCAACACAAACATCGAGTTCTCACACATTCAAAGTAATTGATAACATCTATCCAAATTATAAATCAGTCCAGGGTTGAACATGTTATGACTGACTTGAAAACCAACACAAACAACGAGTTCTCACACATACAAAGCAATTGATAACGTCATCTATCCAAATTATAAATCAGTTCAGGGTTGAACATATTCCGACTGACTTGAAAACCAACACAAATAAACCCAACTGCATTATTTAACTTGCATGATCAGCCACTCCTACTTAGAATACCATTCCATATTCTCAAAAATAGTAGCAATTATCATAAATATGGGGTTTTGAAAAATACACATAAAAGGCACTTGATGAAACATTAATACAACAAAAGAAAATCTGAACCATATTTTTATTGATCAACTACAAATATAGCTATCAAAATTGGTTTAATTTGTCAGCTTTATGAGCATTCATATCTATTATCTGTTTATCTTTGGAAACGTCAAGTGCTTAGACAAGCATAATGATCACATAATGGGCTTTTGAAGGCAATTGATAATTCTCTTTCCTACATGTGCAATATTAAACTACATGAGTGTTCTTCATTATTGTTATCACCTAAATGATATAGTTTTTATTCATATCTAGAAACAAATCTCTCTCTCTCTCTCTCTCTCTTGTTAACCTTATCATATTTTTACATGTCTGGAAATAAGCCCTAACAAGGTTTTTAATCTTGTACCATACTAGCGTACCAAGCCTTGTTCGGTACGATACGATATTGGTATACTGAGCGATACCTTGCAATATGCCAAGATTCTAGCAAGCAGATGCGGGTTGGTTCGACCACAATGACCATCAAATGCGGGTTAGTTGACTTGACACACTCAATCAGGACTCGTGACCCCCTGCTGTAAGACATGGAATCGGCCCCGCCCAACCCTTGGGCCTCGTCGATCTTGGTCACCCTCCTCCATCGCTGTCGCTGCATCCCTCCCGGTGAGCTCCGTCGCCCTCCCACGCACTATCTGGCCTCGAGACGCATAACCCTATCCCTCCCCCTTGCTTTCTCCTTT